CACACTGGCCTTGAACTCAAAATGATCCTCCTGCCACAGCCTCCTGACTAGTGAGATCACCAGGCCTAGCAGATTTTTAACTATAAAAAAAGAGTAGCCTGAACCACATAGTGAGACACTATCTCAAAAAACCAAACATAAGAGTGTCCCATGCTTCTGCTAGCACCTTCAGAGTCTCACTAGGTAGTCCAGTCAGACCTCAAATTGAAGGTGATCCTCCTGCCTCAGCCTCCAAGTGTTGGGATTACAGGCATGGACCACCATATCTGGCTCTCTTATTGTTTACTTCTTGTCAGCTCCCTAAAGCAAGACTCTTATCTGTCTTGTACCCTTCTGCATCCAGCACAAGACTTGACACAGCCGAGACAGGGCGCTGAGTGACTCTCTGTTGGATAATTGAGGAAATCAGCAGCATGGCCCATTGGTCAGCCAGGCCACATTTGGAGAAGTGGCGGGTCCTCTGGGAGCCCCTTGGTCAGTCTGAGGTTCCCGGTCATCCCGGAGCTGCACAGGCAGCCACTGAGTGGGCTGGCTGGATTATCTGTGGGGTGTGGGGTGCCTGTGTGACCGATGAGCCCCTGTGAAGTTGGCCCAGGACTAAGAATACATAAAAAGCACAAGGAAGACCCAGGACTTCCCCCAAGAAGCTTCGGCCACCTCTCTTCTTGGAGTCTCACATTCCCAATTTCCCCGTGGAGGTTCAGGGGGAGATGGGGTGCTGTGGAGCCTGTCCCAACCCCTGGCAGCTGTTCCCCTTCAATCCCATAAAAGTGTCACCTGCAGCTCAGCGCTCAGGAAGAGCCTGCAGAGGAGGCACAGAGCGTGCTTTGTGGCATCTCTGCCATCCGTCTCGGCCTTCCTGGCCTGGACTCTCTGCTCATGGAAACTCCCTCAGGACCTGGCTGCCGGGCCCCAGGAGACAGGCACAGTGCACGTCGCCACTATCCACTCTGCACGGGGCCCACGCAATCCTCTCCTCTAGCGGCCATGCCTGGCAACTAAGCCAAGCCTGCTCGTGCCCGTCGACGTGGGGTCCAGCTCTGAAGGAGGGAGAGGCCCTGCGGGAAGCCTGGCCCAGAACTGTCATCCCAGGTTCCCAGGAGCACTTCCACCATGGAGGGGTCAGGATGTGGCCCCAGCCCCCAGGAGGGGGTGCACAGGAGGTGACAGTGTACCTTGGCTGGGAAGCAGCAGTATGAAGTAACTGGGCAGCAGCACCCAGGGCCGGGCGATCACTGAGCCTTGGTCCTGCTCAGGCAAACTCTGTAACCAGGAGGTCCCTCTCCCAGTGACATCACCCCCTTGCACTGCTGAGGGAAATGAGCTCAGGGCGGCCCTCAGAGGCGGCCTGTTTACTTACAGAGACCCAGGCCATCAGCAGCTCTTTGACCAGACATTCCCTGTCCTGGCCAGCATGATGCAGAAATTTCCTTAAACACATTACTTTGGCCACAACCCACCCATTGCTCCTCTGCTTTCATTTTTTTTTTTTTTTTTGCTCTCAGTAGGAAAATTCCCAGTTCTGGCCCCAAACAGAGCCACCCAGGTGTGACAGGGTCATGGAGACCCCCAGAGGATCATCTGCAGCTCAGTGACTCTCAACTCCATGGCGACCTCTGGAGCTGCGAGACCACCCAGCCAGTTATGCATAGGGTCAGAGCAGGGACCAGCATGACCTCCAGGGCAGACCCTCTCCCCCCTGCCCTAGGGCCTTGGCCACCCTGAGCTCACTGGGAGAGCATTTCCCAACTCAGCAAGCCTGGCTACACCCTAGACCCCTCCCTCATTCCCTCCAGGTCAGGGATATTTCAGGAGGGTACAGGAGCCGCCAGCTTTAACAGGCTCCAGGGAATTCCCGGGATGGGCACCCCTACCAGCCATGGCCAAGACCCGTCTCCTGCCCTCTCCCACCTCTCTGTGCTTTCCCCATTGGAACTCAGCCATTCTAGAGGCCTTGAGGGAACATGAGTCTCGGGGGGCTCCTGTGTCCCCCCCCAGTGCTCTTGGGCCCTAAGGCCACCTATGCCAGGAGTAAAGCAAAGCAGCACCCCCCCAGCAGTGTCACTGATGGGGGACAGCTGCCCTGGCTGGATGTGGGCAGGCAGGCATGGACATGTCAGGGAACCTGAGGCCTTACCTGACCCAGCTCCACCCTGTGGCCTGATCCCCCTTAGCTCAGCATGCTGCGGTACCAGATGCAAAGGGGTTTGAACCTGCAGGAACAGGGGACCAGAAGATGCCAAGGGTCTGCATCAGAGAATGGGGAGGGGAGGAGGGAGTGGCTCACACACAGATCTGAGTCTGTGCTTCTTAGAAGGCAGAGGAAGGAAGAGCCAGATTCCCCACCCCCAACTGTCCCTACTGCCCCAACATGATAGCCCAGGACTCCCTAAACATGAAGTTTAAACAAATCCAATTAGTCAGTATCCCCACTGAATCAGAATTAGTAGGGCATGAAAGCTAAAGACTCCAGCATGTAAAGGATAGAAACCAATGTTTATTGAACATCTGAGTACCTGGTTTACACTTTAATCTGTATGACACTGTAGAGGGAAAAAAGTAACTGCAAAGGACACACAGCCCACGCATGGCATGGCGGTGTTCAATTCCAGTCCTGTCTAAGCCCAAAGCTACTAACAATTAGGCATCTCCCCAATTTATCTCTACAAAGTAATTAATTCAGGAATCAAGCATATCCCTCCTGTAACTCAAACAAGGCCCACATGGTTATGACTAGTTAACCCAGTCTCTTCATTCTACAGATGAGGAAACTGAGGCCAGATCACAGAGTAAGTCTCAGCTGGGTGTAGGGCCTGTTTACTTTTGGTGGAGTTTTGTTTTGTTTCTTGAGACAAAGTCTCACTATGCAGCTCAGGCTGGCCTTGAACTCACAATGTAGCCCAGGCTGGTCTCAAACTCAGAGCAATCCTCCTGCTTCAGCCTTCCAAGCGCTGGGATTACAAGTGCATACCACCACAGCTGGCAGGACCTATATTTTAGACTCTGCAATCAGTGCCCCATCTTCCACCCCAGCCTGTCTCATAGTCCTGAGACCACCCAGGCAAGGGAAGGGAAGGCAGGAAAGCCACGAGCTCTGACCTCCAGGAGGTCAGACAGACAGAGAAACACGCATGTGGACATTCACACAAGTAGACAAGTCCACACAGACAAAGACACACACAGAGCCACTTACACTGATGTAATACTTTTTAATTATCTCCACTTGCCCCAGTTCCGTTGCCCCAAGGAAACATGCAAGAAAGGACCCTAGCACTAGGCTCACACTTTAGATGGCCACACTACGGCCCCACAATGGCCAAAGATCCCTCTCTAAATTCCTAGTGCCAGGGCAATGTTAGGCACAGAGCACATACTTTAAAGATACCTGTTGAGTATGTGTGCCGGGCACTTTATGAATGAATCAATGAATAAGTGGATGGTTGTACATAATAGAAATGTATGCATGCTTTCAGAAACTCATGGACATATTACCAACAAATATGTACACTCCCAGATACACACAAGCTTTTGTCTAGAAAGACAAACTCATAGCTGCACCTAAAGTATACACTGACAAGTGTGTTTCTATAACACATACACAGGTATAGACCCATTCATCTCTGCAAAGACCTTTCCTTCAAAAATACCTATCTTCAGCCATGGGTGGTGATGCATGCCTATAGTGCCAGCACTCTGAAGGCTGAGGCAGGAGGAATGCCATCAGTTCGAGGCCAGCCTGGGCTACATTATAGCGAGTTCAAGACCAGTCTGTACTATATAGCCAGACCTTAACTGAAAAAAAAGAAAATACCCACATTCACAGCTGATCCAGAAATGCAGGCACACAGGAGCACACAGTTCCCACAGGGAAACTGTATCCAACCAAAATGCAGCCGCCCATACCACTTGAGTCATAATGACCACTCTGTCGACAAAAGCAAAGCTGTTAGGTCTGAGACAGATGGGAGTGAGATACCTGCCCACAGAGACCCCTGGTCTGCCTGGGGCTCCCACGCTGTCTGCCTCCCTCCCCGTCAGTCTGCGATTTCCTGCTACAGACTGGCTGGGGAGCCTGCGCTCTCCTCCCCCGCTGTTCAAGGCCAGTCCTCCACAGAGAAGCAGATGGTGTATGTTGGGGCTGTTCCCCTCCTGAGGACCCTGCCCCAGGTCACCGGCCACCTCCTGTGGCCTGGCCAGGCCAGGTGATGGACTCTGGACAGCAGCAGAGCTGTGCTCAGGCCCCGCTGCCCCAGCTCTGCTCATGACAGGATGATTTAGAAGCACCCAGGGGATGGTGCTTTCCAGGGGCCTTGCTTCCTCAGGAAATGGCCCAGCCTGATCTGCAAAACAGGCCCAGATGAAAACACCCTGCTCCTCTCCAAAAACATGGGCAGCTCCTCTCCTAAGAGCCCCTGACGTCACTGTGGTCACAGTATTCTGAGGCCACAGGAATCACAGGCCAGGGTTCTAGTCCCCCTTCAGCCTCAACTCTGTGTTTATTTGAGTAAAACGAGCCACTTTTGGTGTCACAACTTCAGATCTAGCTAGAATCTCACAGGTAGCTTTACCTGGACACAGGTAAAGGGGATTGATCCCAGGGACAGGGGCACATTCCCTGGCACATCACAAAATTCAGGGTCTGTGCTGGGAGTGGCTTGAAGCTATGGTGTTTGGGACAGAAATGAAATAGGGGCTCAGAGAAGAGACTATCCTGCCCAGACTAGAGACACACAGTGACTTCCTCTGTCCCTCCACCCCTCACCAGGTCCCCCAGGCCTCTGCTGGAGGTAGACACAGGCTGTAGCCTCACCAGCCAAATGGGCCAAGACAGGAATGCCGCTCAGCACAACTGGCCAGACAGGAGAGACTGTTTATTCTGGATGTCGGGAACATCTCGGACAATCAGGAGGATTTGGCAGCTGATAGCTCCTGGATGCTCCATCTTGAAGAAATCACAATCAGAGCAGGCTGGCGTTTGGAGCTGAGAGCAGGCAGCAATGGTGGGAGGGAGGGGCGTCACCTGCCTGCCCCACATCCAGTGCAGTGGGTGTCTCTGGGTTCAGCTGCTGGGTCTGTGGGGACAGGGCTGTATAGGTGACCAGAGCTGAGCCCAAGGCCCTGGGTTTGAGAGTAGAAATCCGGGGAGACCTATCATGGGACCCATTTCTTGCACTGTAGGTGCCCCCTGTCTATAAAACAAAGCAGAGCTGATGGCCTCAGCCTGAAAAGGCCTTGGGTCTGGTGCTGGCACTCCAGCCTCCCTGATGGCACCTGCTGAGCTCCCTTTTGTTCTCTCAGCCCCTGTAAGAGCTATGGCGTTGTGCTGCCCGTCTTGCTGCTGTTCCAGTTCTGGGACTGGCTCTGGTCCTGACTCTTTCTGGCCTTTTCCCCTGGAAAAATAATTTTACCAAATCTGTTTCTTCTACAATGTCGTCCTTGCAGGGATACTGTGAGTGTTAACTCTTTCACTATGTGCACCACACAGGAGGCACTTGGTCAGTGGTAGGGTCCTTGTCCCTCACCCCTTCTCCAGTGGCTACAGCCTGGCCTCCATTCTTCCAGACTCCTCTGTGAACCTAGAACCCCACCCTATCACATCTGTATAGAGCTACATCCAGGCCTCAGAATACCATGGGGTTTCCTTGGCAGGAAGCACTTTCTGGAGGGAGCCCAAGCTGATCCAAGTAGGCACCAAGGCTGCAGAAGCCCCCAGAACAAAATGCTCTGGCTTTCTGTGTACTTTGCACATCTCTCACCTGGCACAGGTTTGAGCACCTCGTGGGGACAGTCCAGGGGCCAGGACACTCAAACTTCACCCATCCAGACTCGGCAGCTTGGACGTCACACCTTTCTATAGTTAGTGACACATTGACAGAAGGTGCCATGCTGCTGCAGGATGGCAAGGGGCATCAGTTAAGATCTCTCCTTCTTATTCTCCACAAGACCCAGATTCAACTGTTAAATAAAAAGGAATTTATGGGCCAGGGAGATAGCTCAGTGGTTTTTGCCACCTGCCTCACAAGCACAAGGACCTGAGTTCAATCCCCGATACAAAAAAAACAGTGTCCTAGGATTTAGTGGCCTCACCTCCTGCCATGTTGTGGTCACTCTAAAATGTCACATGGCAGCAGAAAGGCTAGCCTCTCCTATCCAGGACCAATGGAAAAGCAAGTCTCCTAGGAACCCCAGCAAAAACTGGGGTTCATTTTATCAAGATTCTAGTGTGTGATTGGGTCACATGCCCATGTCTGACACAATCCCTGAGCCCAAGCACTGTTGTACCCACAGAATGCATAGCTGGAGTCGTGTAAGACTTGAATAAACTAAAGTGACTCCATGCTAATAGGCCAGACTGCGCTTCTCCATATGCTAATTGCTAACTTGGCTAACAGCCTGCCCAGGGGCAAACGGTATGACAAAAGGTGACCGTAGAACACCCCCTCCCAGCATAAGATAAGCAATGTGATTGCAGTCTTGTTCTGTGAATTCCCTGTTTAGAAAAACCTTATAAAAAGTACCTCAGCCCCTGAGCAGTTGCCTCTCTGAGCTACCTGGCCCCGGGAGTGCCAGTGCCGTCTGGCCAGACTAATAAAGGTCTATTTACCATCCAGCCTGGTGTGTTCCCTCCTGGGTTTCTCATTTCTCAGTTGAGCTCCTGGAGCCTGGCTGGGTGTTAGGGCCCAGCATCGTGGAGGCCTTTTTGGCTGTTCACAGCTTTCAGAAGTAAGGCCCTGGGTCTTGCCTCCAGAGCCATCGTTGGGCTATAGGACTCAGCATCGTGGAGGCCCTTTCGGCTGTTCACGCTCCATGGAGTGGAAGTGAGACTTTAAGTCTTATAATGTGCTAGTTTTAAATTCCTACAATCTTTGCTTGGCAACATGTTACTATGGACCCATGTGGGGCAGAGACAACTTGATCAAAAATAGCAAAACTTCACCGTGTGTGTGTGTGTGTGTGTGTGTGTGTGTGTGTGTACCAGGTATTGAACTCAGGAACTTGCACTTGTGAGGCAGGCAGAAGAACCACTGAACAAAATCCCTGGCCCAGCAAAACTACCTCCCTAAGCCCATCTGCAAGCTCTGCTTCCAGGAACTCAGACCAGCCCTGTCACCTGTCTGCCCCAGTGGTGGGCAGTTTGACTGACCTGGCTGATGTCACCACTGTTATTTTCACTGGGGTCTTCCCTTGGCCAAACAAGGATAAAGCAAAATTTGGTTCCAGTGGCCTCACCCTCTGACAGGATCAAAAGCTCCTTTTGCCCTTGAATCTCCAAATTATTTCTTTCTTTGGCCACCATCCCCCCCAATCCTAAAACCTGTTCTTGGGAAATATTTTGCTATTAGTCCTTTACACATGTGTGTGAATAAGCATCACATCAATCTCTCAGAACCGTTTATACTTTAAAGAGAAGACAGAACTCCCTGAAATCAAGCAACAGCCTGAAACCCTCACCTGCCCACATTTTCCTGTGCATTTTCCAGTCCAGTCCAACTTCAAGCCCCTTTGGCTGACAAACGTCCCACTGCCCTCGGCTGCGACAGGAAATTTCTTGCACCTTTTTTGGCCATTTATTCACTCAGCAAACTTGTTTTGAGTACCCACCACAACTCTGACAGGTGGCTATAAGAGAAGACCGAGGCCCTGCTCTCAGGAGATTTGCAGTTCAATTTTAATGCAGGAAGTATCAATTTCACCACTCTTTTTGTTTTGTATTTGTTTTTGTCACCGCTGACTCTTAACATAAGCAAAGCATAGCCCAGGGGCTGGTATTGAGGCTTCAGTATAAGCTGCTTCCCCTCCATTCTCCCTCCAGCAGAACACTGGAAATTTTCAAAAAAACCCCTTCCAGGTGGACAAAGGCGCCAGCAGAGCGGGTGGAGACGGTGGCTTCTGTCTTGCTGCAGAATGTCCTGATTTGTTCTGGTTGTTCCAAAATGTCAGGTTGGAGAGGGGCTTATTCTAACCAGATCAGGGCTAGAGGCAGCCCAGGTCCATCTCCTTGGTGCAGGGCCCCAGACAGTTTGGAAATAAACAGAAACCCATGGGGGGAGGGGATGGACACAGATAAAGGAAAAACAAACAAAGGCTGAGAGATGGAAAATTCAGGAGGTGGGGTGTGGAGGAGGGATGGTGGCTGAGGGAGGAAGGGAGGGAAGTGGGCTTCGCAGGGGGTGGGGAGGGGTGTGGCCCTGTGTTTGTGTTTCAGCCCCAGGGCCTAAGAATCACCACGGCAATGGGGAGGTGGGGAGGGCGATGTGATGGATTCCATGCCGACGCAAACCTCCCGAGCTTAGCAGTGGATGGGCTCAGATGTGATGGGGCCACATTCTAAAATGAAAGATCTGAACTGGGCTCTTTCAATCACCAGCTCCCCACCCCCTCCCAGCTTTCAGGGCAATCAGTGCTTAATGAAAGGAATTAATCAGAAGTGACAGTGAATCACGTTGCCTTCTCCAGCTCTCTCATCCACACGAGTACACTCAGCTCAAATCCTGAGGAGGGAAAAAAACCCACCTCTGGCTGCTTCAAGGTTTCAAGGCCCTTCCCAGCAGGCACCTCGCCTATGACAGTCCCGCTCACCACCGCTCCCAAAGCTGTCCCGCCACACAATGGCATTAGTGAAAAGGTCAAAGGTCACTTCTCACAAGATACAGGCCCCAGTGTAAGGTGACTCCAACTTCCTTCTGAAGCTCCTCGTCTCTGGGTACCTCTGCCATCGAAGAGAGCGCTTCCTCCACCCCCAAGGAGGCCCTACTGCCAGCCTCCTGAGCCCCCAAATCCCAGCACCCCCATACTTGTCCTTGCCTAGGGCTGATGGGCCTATGGGATCCGCCTTAGATTTGGAATTGGTGCAACATAGAGCCAAGTCTCCTCAAGGGTTTCTTCCTTTCTGACCCTCACTCCCAGGTAGTCAGAGGTCTAAGGCTGACTCATCCATTAGACAAAGCAGGCACAGTGCCTGATTTCTTTGGAAATCGGAAAAAAAAAATCAGAGCCAGGGATGTAGCTCAGCAGCACAGCACTTGCCTGGCAGGTATGAGGCCTCAAGTTCAATTCCTGATACAAAAAAAAAAAAATCAATGTTAAGTGGAAGAAAATATTTTCAGTTTTCTGCGTTTACCAATGAAGTTGCAAAATATAATTTTAAATATTTTCTTACAGAGGAAAGAGGGATACAAAGACAGAAAGGCCCAGGACCCATGGGGGTGAGAATGAGCTCTGCCCTCATCTTCCTTCCTGCCCACTCTACCTCCCCCAGCTCTAGCAATTTCCTTCCCCGTTGTCACAAGGCCCTGTGGGATGACCCTCCACAGGTCTGGATCTCCTGGAGGGCAGGATCTTCTTTATTTACCCTCCTGTCCCCACAATCACATCAGGTATCATAGTATCATTTTTTTCTCTTTTTTGGGAGGGAGGGAACAGGAAAGACAGGAAAAAGAGGGGGCTAGGTCTGAGATAAACACTGCCTGAACAAGACCAGATTCAGGCCAAAGCAGGGCTTCATAATCTTGATGAATTGAGACCTGGCAGATACTGTGCCCAAGCGACACAGCCATGTGGTCTTGTCCCATATTGAAACCACTCCTGCCAAATTTGTCATCAATACCAGCAACAAAACACCAGCAATAAACCCAATAGAGGCTCCACGGGTAAAATCCTGATTTCTCGGCAGCACTAACGCTGCTTGTCCACCTCCTCTTTCTGGCTTCTGTGACACTTTTGGTTTCCTCCTATCTCTCTGGACTCAGCCACTCTGTCCCCTTTACATGGTTCCTGCTCAGTAGTGCCATTAAAAACAAAAAACAACAATGCAGACCACAAGGTGCATCTCAACTATTTACTCTGTGCCAGGCCCCATCCTACCAGATCTTCTAATCCTCAGGATAATCCTAAATCCGTGCTCCAACCAGCAGCCAGAGTGATTTTTCAGAAAGCTGAATGTCATCTTCCTTGCATAAATCCTCTTAATGTTTTCCCTGGCCCATAGCTTTTAAGGTCTTCAGGACTTGGCCTCCGCCAGTATCTGTAGTCCGGTTTCTCACGCTGCCTTTCTCCACAACCCTTTTACTGTTTAGCTTCTTCAACAACTCCAAGTCTTTGCATGTGCTGTTCCCATTGCCTAAAACATTTTTCTTCCCTCCCCTATCTTAAAATAATATTTTTTTTGGGGGGGGGCCTTACTATGTAGTCCAGGCTGGGCTTGAAGTCACGGTGATCCTCCTGCCTCAGCTTCCTGAGTGGTGGAATTATAAATGCCTGGCAGGATTCCTCTTCTACGCTGCAGGTAAATGTCACCCTTTTGGGAAATGGAGTGGGGTATAGGAGTTGGTTAAGAAATGGACACTGAGGGCCGGGGATTTAGCTCAGTGGTTCCACCACCGGCCTCTCAAGTGCAATGACCCGTGTTCGATCCCTGGTACCAAAAAAAAAAAAAAAAAAAAAAAAAAAAAAAAAAGAAATGGACACTGAAACCCATCTGTGCTGGGTTCAACTCCCAGCTCTGCACTTCTGAGCCATAAAACCTTGGATAAGGCCCAGGGATTTAGTTCAGTGGTTCTGCTGCCTGCCTTGCAAGTACAGGGACCTGAATTCAATCCCTGGTGCCAAAAAAAAAAACCTTGGGTGAGCTATTATACTTTCAATTCCTTGTCTCTTAAGCAGAGTGGGCAAGGACTGTTGTGAAAATCAGTACAAATGTGCTACATGTGTTGGCTCCATATTCCCAATCCCAGATCACATCAGGTCTCTGTGCCAATGGTCCCAAGATGCCTTTATGATGCCATTGTCATGCCAACCTCACTCTCAAGACCCTTGTGCACTTGCCCACCCTGCGAATGTCAGCTCCGAGAGTGCAGGGGCTCTGATCCTGCTGTGTCTCTAGTGCCTAGCACACAGTAGGTGCTCCTATTTGGGAGCTCAATGAACAGAAATCCCCCCCACTAGATACCTAGCACATGTCCACCATGAACAAGGAACGAGAGGATAAGATTTTTAACCACAGTGCATACACAGCAGACAGAGAGAGGCTGACAGTGGTCACAAAGACTACTTGGTAATTAGGAAAATACCTTTATTATTTCTTTAAATGTTCCAATATTCAATGTAAAAACCATGACAGTGGATTTTTTACAACTTCACCAATTACAGAAAAAAAATGATTTCCCCCTTCTTTCTAAAAACCCCATCCCCACGCCGGACAGGAATCCATCAGGGCTGAAACCCAGCAGGGAGAAAAGGCTGAAGAATGCCAAGCCGGGCTGTGTCCACAGGACCACAACTTCCCTGAAGGAGGCACCGTCCATGGCTGTGGCACGTTCTGCCCCAGAGGCCAGCAGTGTGGCACTTGTGGCTGGCAGGCCACGATCAAGGCAGCTTCGTGAGAAGGAGAACAGCAGCGAGCCTGTGGCTCAGCAATCTCTCTCTCTAAAACACAGCCAGTAAAGAGGCTGTGGATCCTAGCCAAATGGTGTTCTAGGGTTAGAAAGTTCCCCCTTTTACTCCGCTCACAAAGACTAATTTGTCAAGCAGCTATTTTTTTAAAAAATCAGAAAACAAACATTGGGTTCCATTTCAGCTGTAATTAGCAGTTGGTAATTTTTAGAAAAATACAACTGGAGTTGCTCATTGTTGAGTCTGTTTTTTTTGTTGTTGTTGTTTTGTTTTGTTTTTTTAAAATCAGGCGGCTGACTTTCCATTCTCATCCATGGTTCAGGGAGGGAAGATCCAGCTGTAGCTGGAGGCTGTTTGTTGATTTGAGAAAACTGTGAAAATGTTTTGCACTCACATACAAAAACTGATGGAATCCAAAAATAATCCCACTGATTTCGTTATGAGAAACAGGACTGTCCCTCTTCGGTGTCTTGAGTCAAAACAAGGCAACCGCCTAGTGATTTATAGTCCCCGCTCCATGTGTCCTGCCTTCCAGAAGGCATTAGAGAGGGCGACCTCTGCCAGGAGTGACTGTAAACATGCTGCACCACTGACACTGGACGTTTTGTTTTTAAATGCAGCGGGACTTTTCCTTTGGCCATGGCTGAAGAGCCAGCTCCGTAGGGCCCTTGAGGAAGGAGCCGGGGGTCCTCACTGACCAGAGTGTAGCTGGGAGCATTATCAAAGGCAATCAGTACATTTATGGCATACAGAAAATTGTCCTGTGGTCCCCCAACTGTCCCCTAGGCTCAACCTGGCTGGATGTGAGGCACAGAAGGTAGAGAACAAACTACCATAAGGCATGTGGCTAAGGTGGCCCCCACACCACGCCCTGGAAAGATTATCTCTTTGCACGATTCCAAAAGTGTTGGAAAGCAGAGGAGTTGATGACACTCACAATGAGCAGCAGCAGCAGGTACAGGGACATCATGACCACAAACCAATGACTGGAAACCCAGGACAGCTGGCTGGAAGCCCTGCGTGAGGAGAAAACAAGTGATGTCGGCAACAAGAGCAAAACATTTTTTTTTTTTAATGTGTGCAACAAGCTCTGGCTCAGAGTAGATGAAATGATGAATTTCACCCTCTGAGTGAGCCATGCGGCAAGCTTCATGCTTCTTTGCTTGAAAAATGTGGGGCTCTTTGCCCTGGCACCACATGCCTTTCAATGGAACAATTTCTAAATGCACAAAGACAGCTATGCAATGAGCTCACCCTCCACCAGTACTAGGAATGGAACCCAGGAGTACTCTACCACTGAGCTATGTCCACAGCTCTTTTTATTTTTCTTTTGGAGACATGATCTCACTAAGCCACCTAGACTGGCCTGGAACTTGCAACCCCCCTGACTCAGCCCTTCCAAGTAGCTGAGGTAACAGGATGAACTGCCACACCTGGCTCCTCTTTTATCTTTTACAACCCATGTAGACTTTGGAATCTAGAAGAATTACCTGCTCAGGGTCTCTACCAAAATGTCAGCAGGTTACTGAGCAAAAGTCTTTTTACTTTCAGATATGTACACATATTTACCTGACCTGGAAAAATCCTATTCGGCCCACTAGAAGATGTTCTAAACCATCCACAAAAGACACACTCCAGGAGAAAATGAGAAAGAAATGGAATTTTGAAGTGGAAAAAGCCAGATGATGTATAACCAAAGGATAATGTTCCCAGACTTGGGAACCTATGTAGATTTCTGAATTAAGGTAGGGGCAGATTTTACTGGTTTAGGAAATCTAGAACCATGGAAACCACCGGTGTGTAAAAGTAGGAGTGACATTACTAAAAGTGTCCCCTTTTCCTGTCATGGCTGTTTACCTGCTGTACATCTGCACAGGAAGCTCTACCATGGGTGCCTACAATGCAACAAGATCTCCAAGTGATCTCCAACCCTGAGAACCCTGCACATCCTCCCAGTACCACACTGCTGGGGTAGCACTAGGGCATCCGCCATGGTTCTTTGGAGCTGAAGGCCCTCGTCGGTGCTGGGGTCAATTTTCATTTTATTTATCTATTGAGACAGGGTCTTAAGTAGACAGGGTCATAGTATCATAGTAGATAGGATCTATTACGTAATCCAGGCTGGCCTTGAACTCCCAATCGCCCTGCCTCAGTCTCCTGAATACTTGGATTACAGGCGTGCACAACAAAGCCCAGCTTATTTACTCTTTGCAGTGTTGGCAATGAAGCCCACAGCTTCATGCACACTAAGCAAGCATTCAGCCACACCCCAGCACAGCACCTTATTTTATTTTTATTATAATATATATAACATTTTTATATATTATATTTTATATATGTTATATATATGCATTTTTAAGCACCTCATTTTAAAGGTAAAGATGAAGCATCTCAGGTCCACAGAGGAATGGGCAGTGATTCAGCAGCCACTGTGGGAAGCAACTGAGCAGGGTACACACAATCTTAGCCCACGTCCAGTCACCATCCTGCCTCTCAGTTCTAGCTCATCGGTGGGTTTCTGACCATAATCAAAGGCCCAGGGGCTAAGGGGCTGCCGATGTGGCTTCCTTCAGTCATCAAAAAAAGACATATCTAAAATCCTTTTATATTCTTTTTTTTTTTTTTGGTACCAGGGATAGAACTTGGGTCCTTGCACTTGCGAGGCAGGCCACCGAACCGCTGAGCTAAATCCCCGGCCCTCTCCTTTTATATTCTTCATGACAATATACGGTCTCACAGTGCTCTATCTACCTTCCAGGCCATGGAGGCCTAAGGCTGGGGTAAAATCAAGACTGAAACAAAGAAATCAATTTCCTGAACATGGGCTCTAGTTGGTCTCCTCAATTTTGGGCAAGGATCATCTCTTTTCTTTTTTTTTTTTTTTCTGCAGGGCTGGGGATCAAACCCAGGCAGGGACTCACACTTGCTAGGCATGGCTCTCCCTCTGAGCTACACCCAGCCCCAGGATCACCATCTGACCTCTTGGGTTGCTTCAGCGAATACACCAGCAGGTACTTCACTCGCAGGAGCTGGTTATTGGTGACCACGAAGTACTTAGGAGGTATATCTCCTCCTTCGCTATGCTTGATTCTCGCTCTTCTGCGGTCTATCTCCTTGGAATCTGAATAAGAAGAGGAAAGCACACATTTACTGGGAGGGAAATAAAAGAACTAAAGAAGCAAATTAGGCATAGAAATGAGTTAAGACTCCTCCTGGTCATAAAGATATAAAAACCCTGGTAGGTTGAGGAATGCGCCTGTGTGAGTATACAAAACAGCACTAAAAACAGGAGAATCTTGGCCTGGTGCAGTGACACATACCTATAATCCTAATACTCTGGGAAGCTGAGGCAAGAGGACCACAAGTTTGAGCCCAGCCTGGGAAACTTAACAACTTAACAAGATCCTGTCTCTAAAGAAAAAAATAAAAAGGGAAGGGGATATAGCAAATGCCCTGGGTTCAATCTCTGGTACTGAAATCAAACAAACAAGCAGGACAATCTGGTAGGCAGAGAAACAAATGAGAGGAGGGATAAAGAAATAGAAAAACAGAAAAGATCCAAGGAAGATAACAAAACAACTGAATGGAGAAAGCAGAGGAGACAAATTGATAGTCATACCACTATAACCAAAACAAAATCAAAAACAAAAAACAAAAACATCTCTGGGACTGGGAAGAGGACAATCTGAAGCAAGGCCCTTAGTAAGCATTCTGAATAAACCATGCTAGATATGAGCTTCTTAATACACTTATCTTCCATCCTTCCTACCAAGATTTCTTTCAAAACCAGAAAAAACTTTTTTTAATAACAAGAAAAAGCTTTACCAAGGATGGGGTGCCAGGCCAGAGCTGTGTGCCAGCAGAGGCCACAAGGTTTGGTTTTGATGTTTAATGTCACAGTTTGCAAACTTCCTAAGAATTACAATTGCAAATAAATATCCACGCCATCTGGTTTGGGAGGGTGGTGTCAGACCTGGTCCCATTGCTCAGGATTCCAGTTGTTTTACATTAGAGGCCAGAACAGTCAGTTTTCTGAAGTGTCCTTTTCTTAGTAAAACTGAGAGGCGAGTTTTGGAAACTGAATGACAGCTCCATGACTCTTCTGCCTTGGAAGAGGGAACACAGAGGGAGTCACAGGGCAGAGTCCACGGGACACATCGGGGCTGTGCAGTGAGGTGGCAGCCAGTTATGTTCCCTGCAGTGCCTGGGATCTACTCCCTGTGGCCTCAGTTGCCCCTCATGTCCCCAGGGGGCTCCAGCATGTCTGGACTCCGTGTCCTTCCCTTTAGTTTACCAAATGCTTACTGAGTGTCAGGTGTAAACCACACTCCACTGACACCAGGCGCCCAAGAATAAGCAAGACCTCCTTCTGACCCCCAAGGAGCCCATGCCCATACCTCACACACACTTTCGTTTGTCAAATCCTGCTGGGTACTATGGCACACACCTATAACCCCAGCACTCTGGGAGCTGAGGCAGGAGGATTGCAAGTTTGAGCCCAGCCTAGGCAACTTAGTGAGACTTTGTCTCAAAATTTAAAAAAATAAAAAATACATAAGGGTTAAGGATGTAGTTCAGTGCAAAGACCTTGGGTACAATCCTCATACAACAACAACAACAACAACAACAACAACAACAGCAATAATAAATTTTAAAATATTTCCCAAAGTTTCATTCTCTCTCTCTCTCTCTCTCTCTCTCTGTCTCTCTCTCTCTCTATCTCGTCTTGCCAGGTAACTCAGACTGGCCCCAAACTTAAGATCTTCCTGCCTCAGCACCCAGGATGCTGGGATTACAGGTTCTGAAGCTCCCCTTGACCACCTGGCCCACCATGACTGCCCCTTCCTCTCAGCTGCCCCTTCCTCTCAGCTGCCCCCTCGCCAGGTTCTCCCCAACAATCACCTTGCACCAAGCCATCTTTTCCATCTTGAAGGAGCTTTCTCTCCTTGAAATCAGGCCCTGCCCTGTCCTACCCAGCATCACTCCAGACCCAGCCCACTCGACCATGAGATGTTGCTCCCCAGAGCCGGCTGCACCCCAGACAGAGGGCTATGGCTTGGAGCAGGCCAGGGCTCACTCACCCTTCTTCTTGGCTTGGCACTTGACGTCTGGATGGTCGATGACCTCGCACACAGCCACACAGCTGAGGATGGGGCCGAGAAGGCTGTGCTGCCACCCGTGGCTGTGAGGACTGTAAATGAGGGCCAGGCTCAGGTCACTCGTGAGGTAGGTCCCCTCTCCAAACAAGGATGTCTGCAAGGGCAGAGGCCAACAGAAAAGAAACACAACGTGTGAGTGGAGAGTTGACACAGCCAGATGGCACAGGTCTTTCTTCAACAGAGCAATAAACACAAAAACTTCTAAGCTTCCTTTTTCCCAGTAGGACATAGGATCAAGCAACCTATGACAGCCTCATAGGATTTATTACTGAACACATTCCATGTGACAGCTGTTTAACTGATTGTGGATTTCGCCACCTAGCCTGGCAAAGTAACAGTTCCTTGTGGTCAAGGATGAGTAAGAAAAACAGACATCAGAGTCCAAACAGACCTCGAGTAGAATCCACCAACAACCTGGCAGGTTAAACTGTCTCCATTTCTATATCTATAAAATGGCGGGCTGGGGATTCAGCTCAGTGATGCCACCACCTGCCTCACAAAATGGTGCTCATAGCATGTCCTTCATAAGGTTGTAGGTGAAGATTAAATAATATACAGAAAACATTGCATGGGATATCTGGGGCATGAGAGTCAGTGGTGACAATGAGGGTGGGTCTCACACCACGGGCGCTTACGTTACAGCATACGTTGTCGCTTCTGTTAGAGGAACGCATTAACACAGTTACACAGATAGACTTGCAAAAGCAAAGTCACACTCTTGTGTACAGGGAGGACGGCACACCTGGCGGGAAAGGGTATTCTGAGTCATCTCTTGGAAAAGACATGAGTCCCTCAGACTCTGCAACTGAATTCAGGAAGCAGACATGAGAGCCAGGATCAGTTTTCCTCTGCAATGATGTTGGTATTGGCTAAGAAAATGTCCAGAACTCAAGAAGGCACCTCCCTGTTCAGGGGGTGCCAATGACACCTCTGTGACAAGTACAGCAGGCAAAGTACCTACAAGCCGAGGCTACAGAAGGCTTGGCAAACACATCCCTAAGCAACCACAATGGTCAATGCAATATAAATCAATCCTGGTACCTACACATACTGACTCAGAATCCATCTCTTAACATCTCTGGGAGCTATGACCAATGGATAGACTTTAATATTCAAGCTGAAACTCAACTGCTATGTGGGAGCCACACTGTCAGTATTTTCAGATGATGGCTGGACCTGAAGGGCTCACTCAAGTACATCCTTGTGCTCTGGAATTGAGCAATTCCCTATTAGGTGGCCCCAGGCCGCCACATTTCTATACCCCGTAAATGACGCTCAGGAGAAAAGTTTGTTTGGCCTTTAGAGAGCTCCTTCCCTAACAACCTGACACAGATTTTCTCCAAGGCTACTGGGCTCCCATCTGACTCGCAGCAGTTCTCGGTCTATACCTGCCACTCTGATTTGACCTTCCGGAGACTCGGACAGCTTATGCAAGGCTGCAACTGGCATAGGGTTTCCCAAGCAAGCCCTGAACCAAAATCCAGGCAGGGAATGCCAGGGGTTGGTTCACTTTACCTAACGACTCTTAGAAGATACCTCTAAGAAGCAAATTCCTGGGGGCTCTCAAATGAAGGCGGTGTACAAGACTATAACCTGAAGCGACTTCTCTGGGCCGGCTGCAAGATGAAGTGGAGGCCGACCAGCCCGGCCCTAATTCTAAACTGAGAGCCAGAATAAACAAGCCTGGCAACCTTAACAAGATGCACAAGCACTAATCTGATGCAGCAGGGCTGAGAAGAGGCTCTCTAGCCTCAGGGCCTAGTCTGTGCCCAATGAGCCTGTACCCAGGAAGCACAGCCAGCTCCTTGGAATAAAGCAGATGCTGCTGGACAGGGCACACTCCAGATGCCCTCTGTACCAGCCATAAAAGCAGCCCCTGCTTCACTGGCCCTTGGCTCAGGCTTACCCCTGGTACCCACCAACTATTCCAATCCTCCCCCGGGGAGAATAATGGAGTCGTTGTGTACTACACATGGAAAACTGAGGCTCAGAGACCTCAAATCAGTTTGCCCAGGGCCACAGGGATTCCCAGTCTTCGTCTTACACCTTTCTGAGTGGCAAAAAGTACCAGCAGAGAAAGGGGAGGCTGGCACTTTGTGAGTCCTAAAAATGAGAGGCATGCAGCTCAGGGAAGAAGGGAGAGGCCCTCTCCTCAGTGCCTCTGGTACACACATTCAGTTCTCCCAGGCTGACACTCTGGAGCAACCCCTCAGGGCTTCTCAGAAGTCAGCCTCCCTGTGGGGCACCTGCGGTGGGCCCAAGACTCCGCAAGTGATACAGATGTCACTGGTCCACAGACAGCACTGAGCAGCTGGGGTGGTCACACACTGGGGTCACTAGAGGGCTTATGAAGCTTACTGATCTCTGGGCCCCATTTCCAGACAGTCTGATTTAATTGTCTGGGATAAAGCAAGGCCCTGGGATTTTTTTTTTTTTTTTTTAAACTCTCCAAGTAATCTAAATGCATAGGCAAAGACGGGAACCACCTATGCTTCTCAGGCTGTAATCGGCACAGGGACACCTGGACATCTCGTCACACTGCATGTGGGAGCTGAGCATGGTGGCGCATACCTGTAATCTCAGCACTCTGGGAGGCTGAGGCAGGAGGATTCTAAGTTTAAATCCAGCCTGAAGCCAAGCATGGTGGTGCAGGCACATTTTAGAGACTTAGCAAGACCCTGTCTTAACATAACAAACAAAAAGGTTTGGGGATATAGCTTAGTGCAAAGGCCCTGGGTCCAACCCTCAGTATTGCAAATAGAATAAAATAAAATAAAATATAGAAAGACATGGGCAGTGAGGATTTAGCCTGCCTCGCAAGCTCAAGGTCCTAAGTTTGATCCCCAGCATGAAAGAAAAAAAACAAAACAAAACATCAAAAAGACCTAGGCAGGTAGTGAGGGCCTTAGGTTCAATTTCCCCAAAATGGGAAACAAAATTTAAGTGAATCAAGGAGTCAAAATGTCAGTGCTGGGCCCAAGATCCTGCATTTCCACAAGCTCCTTGGCAGTGGTATCACTGCTAGTCTGCAGGCCACACTGAGTGGCCAGGCTTTAGCAAACCTAGGCACCCCAACTCACGCTTCCCCATTCAGCCCCAGGGCCTGGATCACCCACACCCCACGCCCCCCATTTCACCAGCATCCCCACCTTGTTGAGATGGCAGTGCAAGCCATTGTGGATGATGGAATGGAAGTTTTCTAGGCGGCTACCATGGAAGGCGTAGATTAGGTCTCGTTCTCCTTTGGTCTCATAAAATTTGGCATTGGCTGGGTCAAAGTACTCGATCTCAAATAGGAAGTCTGGGACAGGGACAGGTATGTGAGGGTTACCGGTCAGCTGCTGGATTTTCTCAAACTTGAAAACATAAAGAAGGCAAAGGGGAAGCAAAAATGATTAAGATGCAATGTCTATATGTGCCAATTCCCCAAAATGAACGTGATTCTTATGTACTGCAAACACATACCAATTAAAAAAGAAGCTGGTGGGCCAGGATTTAGCTCAGTGGTGCTGCCACCTGCCTCGCAAGCACAAGGTCCTGAGATCGATCCCCAGTACCAAATAAAAAAGAAGCTGGTAAAATGTGCTGCAAAAATGGCCTCCTATAACCTTGGGTTCAACTCCTGTGGATTTTGCTCACCAGAACAACAGGTTTCATGAAGACAGAGATATTAACGTACAAGCAAGCTTAGAGCTTATGGTTCAAGAGTGCTTTGCACCAACACCATTTATCCCTACGGCAAGCTGAGAAGCATGAACCACACCTTCTGAATGGCAATCACTTCTAATATTCCTAACACTTTCCCATCTATTTCTGCATTCCATCTTTAATAATTTCATGAGTAAGAACAGCACAACTATTTGCAAAAAGCCACAAAAAGGAAGGCCCCAACAAGGGTAGCCACCCCAGCTGTGGTCCCAGAAAGGTGAATGAGGTTACCTTAGATCACCCGGCCCATTGCAACAATTCAAGCAACCCACAAAATCACAAGACACAATCAGCATTTCTCCTTTTACCATTTCAAGCCACTCAAGGTCAGGCAGGGGTAGTCTGTTGTTCAGCAGAAACTGACAGAGAAAGTAAATCAGGATCTCCAAGGTGAGGTCCAGGAATGTGCATTTTCAACCAGCTGCCAGGTCATTCTGATGCATAGGGAGGTCTCAGAGACAGTGGGCTCCTGCTGTCCCAGACCCTGTGTCCCTTGGAATCTGTGGACCAAAATCTCACCTCGGCTTTCCCTGCGCTGTGGATTGTCAGGACCTTGGAAGACAAAATCCAGCTCACCAGGTCCCAGGCCCACTGGTCTTCATCTCCAGAGGATCTGAGCAGTTCTTTCAGGCTAGGCAACTTTCTGGAATCTGCAAGCTATGAGGAAAAACATTTATTAGCAAGGATCCTGAGGAAGTGATGACCAGAGGCCCTCTAGTGGCAAGGCAGGCAATTTTCACTCCTTCTGTATCGAGTACTTTGCTTCCTTTTCCAAATAATAACTAACCCTGAAAGCTCTGAACTCTGAAAGATTTGTAAAAAATCTTACTTGGCACAAAACTTGACCTGAGCTGATATGAAGTTTGTTTAGTCCTCACCCTGTTCCGATGGCTGCATTTGCTGTACAATAGTACTGCGTCTGAGGGCGGGCAGCAGGGCAACCTGCAGCAGGTGGTTCTGAGCATGCACTCACAAGCGTGGGTAAAGGCTTAGCCAAACCTTGCCTGGAGCATGGGAATCTGTTGGTGCAAAACACACCTTGCTTACCTCTCCACCTGCTTCCCTCACCCCCAGGCTGGGCAGGCCACGCGTTCCCAGCCCAGTCCTTGTGTTACCCAGGGACCCTTAACTAGGCCCTGACTTTAAAGTATCTACTGCCACAACTGAAATGGATGATACACATCACTGAGGGTAAGGTGAGACTTCTGTTGGGTAGGACAGGGGTTGCGTCAGAACCACTTCATAGAGGAGATGCCCTGGGCCCTGAGTCTGCCAGGCAGAGGCAGGGAAGTGTGAAAGCACAGCAGGTAGCCAAGGAGCTGACAGTGGCAGCTGGGGCTACACCTTTGTTCTTGTGTCCCTACAGGCTTGGGGACCCTTAGGTGCTGCCAGGCTCCTGTGTCTCAGATTCCTCAATCACACAGTGGGATAGCAAGAGAGCTAGATGCTTACAGCATCCCACTGAAGGATAAGTTAAACAACGGCTCAAAGCAATAGGAAGGTACTAGCCTGAGCCTAAAACTCATCGTGATCTCCCCAGCCTTCTTTTCTCTTTCTTTCTCTTCCTTCCTTCCTCCTTCTTTGCAGTACCAAGGACTGAACTCAGGGCCTTTGCACTGAGCTGCATCCCCAGCCCTTTCTAAATTTTTTTACTTTGAGACAGGTTCTGAATAAGCCACTAAGTGCCCACACTTGCTCAAACTTGCAATCCTCCTGCCTCAGCCTCCTCGAGTGCTGAGATTACAGGACGCAACACCACACCCAGGCCCTTCCTTCTATTCTGAGTCCACACTTGCTATCTCAGGATGAGAGCTGAGCCCACTCTCCCACCATGACTGCGCCTGCTTCTTCAGTTCTCAAATCCTACGTGTGATCCATAGCCATTAGCCACAGTCCAGACTCAGGCACAGGGACCCCCACAGAGGACAGCAAGCCAGCCAGGCCCCTCCAGGGACCCAGTGTAGTCAAGTGGGAGGGCCGCCCCCCCCAAGCCCAAATGTACCCAGGCCTCAGCCAAGCTCCCCTACCAAACCAACGCTCCCTCTGCCGTTGCCCAGGCAGGGTCCTGCATTACCTGGGGACACTTACCTGGACGCTGCCCTCCTGGCCTGCCTCTGCCCACACTCTAACCCCTCGATTGACCTCCTTTACGTCCCATTTCACTTTTCATGTCACTGTGCTCATGTTAGCAGGATCCTTCCCTGTCTACATCCCAGTAGGACCTTCTGGAGACCAGGCTCACAAGTAGGGTTGCCAGACAAAACAGTCTGCCCGCTTAACTATGAATTTCAGATAAACATTTTTTTAGTATACATATAACCCATGCAATATTTAATACATTCTCCTCCCCCACCCCTGCCCCCATACCAGGGATTGAACTCAGAACTGTGCTTGCCAGACAGGCTTAGAGCCACTGAGTTGTATCTCCAGACCTGGGGCATTCTCATACTAAGAAGATTACCTGTTGTTCATCTGAAATTCAAATTTAACAAGATGGCCTATATTTTTATTTGTTAAATGGAGCAACCTGGGTGCAGTGGTGCATGCCTGTAATCCCAGCACTCCAGGAGGCTGAGGCAGAAAGATCACAAGGTCAAGGCAACTTAGTGACTTAGCAAGACTCCGTGTCAAAATTAAAAAGGGAAAAAAATAAATAAAGGGCCAGGCATGTAGCTCAAAGCAAAGGCCTGGGTTCAATCCCCACTACCACCAAAAAAAGAAGAAAAGAAAGAAAAAAAAAAAAACACTAACAACTATACCTTACTAAGGCCCTGGTCTGGCCACTGACTTAACAGGACTTCCTGCCATCAACCCCCACCCCACCCCCAACCTATGTCTTTCCTCCTCTGTACTTCTGCCCGTGACCAGTGTGACATGCCAGTATTTAAGGTCAAGTCTCTGCCCCGAGCCTTCACTGGCCACCCAGGATCCCTGTGCTCAACAATGATGACAGATCCCCTCGTTGCTCCTGGGACTCTCTGAGGCAGCACCTTAAATCTGATTGGGGTAAACATCCCTAAGGATCAACCGCATTTCACTTTTCCTGGAGCCTGGCACAGAGTTCAGAGCAAGATGTTAACAGCCACTGTTTGTTTTTGTTTTTTGGTACCAGGGATCGAACTCGGGACCTTGTGCTTACGAGGCAGGCAGCAGAACCACTGCGCTAAATCCCCGGCCTAGCCACTATTTGTTGAGCCTTTACATGTGCCAGGCACAGGGCTCCACGCTGCACATGTGTCACCTCATAATGACCTATCTTAAAGGTGAGGAATCCGAGGCCTTGTGTGCTAGGCACCTCATCTGGGGTCACTCAGCTCTTCGGGGGCGGGGTAGAGTTATAGGAAGCCAGGTGACCAGACCCCACCATGCACGCTCCCAACCACCATGCCCTCCTAGGGAGGGACAAATTCAGGGATGGCCTGAGAACATCAGACAGCAGCAGCACTCAGGTCAGACTCGAAGAGGCTGCTCGGGAGACTGACCAGGTGTGGCTGGAGTTTGTGCTCCACTCTCCAGGTAACACAACCACGATGGCAACTGATTGTGCCCAAGCCTGTCTGTCATAGGGAGAACTGGGTCGTGTGTGGGGAAGGGACAGAAAATGTCCAGGTGGGCAAGAGGTCTGAAGCACAGCTCAGGAGAGTGGAAGGGGTTGCCTGGAACTAGGTGGGAGCAGGGGAGAAGGCAAAGGAAAGAGTTTTTGACACAGACCACAAGACAGAGAACAGGTGCACTCTTGGGCCTGTTAACTATTAAAACCATGACACATATTCTTCCCCACCCCCACACCTTCCTAAACAATCTTAACCCCAAAACCTAGGTGCATTAGGGCTGGGGATTTAGTCAGGGTTTCTGCTGCCTGCCTTGCAAGTGAAAGGTCCCAAGTTCGATTCCCCAGTAACAAACAAGCAAACAACAACAACAAACTAGGTACATCAGCTAAGTGTGGTTGCACACATCTTTATTCCCAGCAGTCTGGGAGGCTGAGGCAGGAAGATCACAAATTTGACCCCAGCCTCATCAATTTAGCAAAACTTCTCTCAAAATGAAAATTATTTTTAAAAAAAGGACTGGGGGTGTCAATTCTCAGTATCAAAAAAATTTTTTTAATTAAAGGCACATCATAAAAGCCCAGATGTCCTCATGGTAGCAGCTCCAAAAATAAACTCGATGAGAAACTGTTCGGACCACCACACAGGGACAAGGACCAACACGGTCCTGGACCCTAAATGGTCACTCATCAAAACACTGCTGTGTTTCCTTCTGAGGCAGTTGGGGGCATCAAAACTGCTTTTGCAGAGAGCAGTGTCTCTTCACCGGGGCCTGCAGATGCTGACTGGGAACTCAAAGCTTGACATCCATTCCTGCACTCCTCCTGCATCTGCCTCCTGTTAAATCTGTGGGGCAGAACAGCACTCAGTCTGCACGTTGGCAGGTTGGTCACTCAGGGAGCATCTGTCTGAAAACTGGTAATACAAGGTTTATTAGCCCTGAATTTACCTAACCTGTGTCATTCCCCTTTACAGCTGAGGACACTGAGTTAAGGAAAAGACAGGGACGGGGATGAGGATTTAGCTCAGCGGTGCCACCGCCTGCCTCAAAAGTGCAAGGTCCTGAGTTTGATCCCTGGTACGAAAAAAGAAAGAAAGAAAAGAAATTGGCAGGGACATTCAACTGGCAGCTGCTGTTAGCCCCTGGTGGGGTCTCCAGTCATTGCCCTGAACCTGTGGTCACCTTGATTCCAGCAAAGCCTTCACAGACAGGAACGATCATATCTCTCTCTTTTGGTGGTGGCTCTGGGGGTTGAACCTAGAGCCTTTGCATTAAGCTTCATCTCCAGCCCTTTTTAAAAAAATTTTTTATAAGATCTCATTAAATTGCCCTTTTGATCTTCCTGCCTCAGCCTCCCAGTTTGCTGGGATTACAGGCATGCACCATCACACCCAGTGGCGCTCATTCTTATTTTGGCTCCACAATCTGGGGAAGGAAAAAGGACCCTGCTTAGGATCAGAATTGGTAGCAGTTCTCCACACTGGTGCCCCCGAGAAGGCTTTCAAAGGCCTAACATGTGAGCAAAAGAATGGAGTGCCACCCCCACAACTCCTGACCAGCTGATGCTGACAAGGACAATACAGAAGCTATAACACTGAGAGGTTAGGAAGATCGTGAGAGTTCCGTGGAGAAAAGTTCAGGACAGGGACAGGACTTATCCAATCTTTGTGCCAAGAAACAGGTTCAGAAATCCTACCCCACCTGATTCCTCAGTCATCACAGGCCAGACACTGGGGATACAGCGAGCTCCCCGAGTAAAATCAATAGAGGACTCAATGCAGAAAAACTACCAAAATGAGGTCCTCAGAGCTGATCTAGACTCTGGGGACAGTGACAAGATAAGGCCTGATCCTCCCTGAAGCCAAGGGCTTGGCTGAGGAGAAAATAACCCCAGGAAAGCAAGGGCCAATAAAGTAATTCGCGTCAGAGCTCTCAGGTCTGGAAACCAGGACATGCGTTACATACAGGTGCGTGCTAACTCAGTGTAGTGTGGAGAAAAACAAATTCAAATGGCTGAAGTAATAAAACTCTCTCACATTACTTCCAGGTGCTTTTGGCTAAAAAATAAAAGACTGTTATATTTATTTCCTTCTCCAGGCAACCACAAAATGATCCAGAAGGGACCGAGCTCCTTCTTTAAAAGTTGGCCTGTGAGGGGCTGGAGGGGTAGCTCAACAGCAGAGCACGTGCTGAGCATGCGCGGGGCCCTGGGTTTATCCCCCAGCACCTAAACAAAACAAAATAGAGGGTCAGAGATTAAGCTCAGTGGCACCACACCTGCCTCTCAAGCACAAGGTCATGAGTTCAATCCCCCGTAAAGGGGGCGGGAGAAACAAGAAGTCCACCTTTGGGTCAGATACAGGTCTAGATGCCAAGCCTTATTCTTCATTAGAGTAACTCATGGGACTTGGGACAAAATAAAACCTAGCCATGCAAAATGGCCCACATTTGTAATGGCCCACACTTAGGAGGCTGAGGCAAGAGGAGCACAAGTTCTAGTCCAGCCTGGGCAATTTGGCAACTTAGAGAGAGACCCTGTCTCAAAATAAAAAATAAAAATAGGCTGGAAATGTAGCTCTGGGTTCAATCCCCAGTATGAAAAAAAAGAAGGAAGAGTAGACAGATGGACAGATGGGACGGACCAGAGGTACAACTCAAAGGCAGTTCACCTTCCTAGCATGCACAGAGCCCTGCATCCAATCCCCAGTACCGCAAATGGAACAGAACAAATGAAAGCTAAAATGCACACTCCCCAGAGGTGGTGTCCCCAACTCAGTGAACAGCCTTCTCTGGGAAACTAGTAATTACAGCCATGGCCACAGACAGCCATGGCCACAGACAGCCAAGAATCTGCAGCCTGGGCAGTTCTCCTATCTACAGTGCCCCACAGGAAATGTGAAAACAGACTACATGGCTAGAATCTGCCTGTGTTTCTCCAGCGGCCCTCGAGAATGGGTGACTGACTGGGACTAGCACAAGGAGTCCCATGTGCAAGGCCACCTATCCCTATAAAGAAGGGGCTGTATGGAACTACAAGAGCTCTGATGGTCTCCTAGGGGTTGATGGGGACCGGGAAGGGCATGCCCGTAACTGTTAGCAAATGGTACCTTTGAGAGGAATGCGAGATGGGGGAGCTCTATCAAGGGCTACCATTAGTTACATCCCAAGGCCTTTTTATTTTATTTTGAGACTAAGCCATTCAAGCTGGCCTCAAACTGATGATCTTCCTGCCTCAGCCTCCTGAACAGATGGGATTACATGCCCAACTATCAGGGACACTTCTACTTTACTGCTATCTTGGCTTTCTTACAACAATACTATTCAACATGATTTGTATGGTTAAAAATAAATGTCGAATGCCTAAAATGTACCAATAAGTGTTTTGCTATAAAAAAATGTTGAAGGGGCCGGGGATTTAGCTCAGTGGTTCTTCTGCCTGCCTCACAAGTGAAAGGGCCCAAGTTCGATCCCTGGTACAAAAAAAAAAAAAAAAAAAAAAAAAAATTTGAAATAGCACGAGCAAATCAAAAGAATTCCACAGTTCCCTGTTTATGTATCGCATATTCATCAAATAAACCCAATTTGACCTGCCATGAAGACCTTGGGCAGGAAGCAAATATGCTGAGCCTTCAGGTCTACATGGAGGTAAAAAACAACCTTGTTGTGGGATGTTATCTCCGGTGAGCTTGATCTCCCCCACCCCAATCTCTCACTTTGCATCTACTCCTGAACAGCTCCCTCTCTTACTCTGTCACCCAGGGGTCTTTCAGAAGTGCACTTTCTAGAAGTCACCAATGCCTTCCGCTGCCAGAGGGTAAAGATCTAAACATCAAAGCAAGAGGCTGGCAGAGGCAGTGGCTCACAGCCCACTCCCACCAAACTAGGTCCTCTCTTTGCCTCTGTGATCTTTCACTCTCCATCCTCCACAGCTGGGCAGTCGGAGGAGCTCCACAAATATCTGCTGCCAAAACTGAAGGAAGTTTTGTCCCCAGTTTCGGATGTCACCAACTCCCTATGGCAATTATCAGAGCTTGTAGGACAAACCACACAGGAAGTTGCTTGGCTTAACTTCCTGATGTTAACTTCCGGGACCCTGAGAGGCCTGAAAGTCCAGGCCTGAGGCACCCTCTGTACAGGGCTAGGCTGCACCATGGAAACCCAGGAGGCTCTGCCTTTGTTCCTCAACCTCCTAGGAATAATAGCAAAGAGAGAACCCGACACTGGTAATATCAGAGTTGATGCTGAACATCTGTTGATGCTGAATATCTTGCTTAATTTGTTGATGGGGTTCATGATATTGACCTTCAGGCTAGGGATTTAGCTTAGTGGTGCCACTGCCTGCCTCAAAAGCACAAGGTCCCAAGTCTGACCTCTGCTACCAAAAAGAGAAAAAAGTTACTTCCTAGTGTTGAACTAATTTTGCATTCTTGGGATAAATACAACTTGGTCAGGCCAGTTGTGGTGGCGCACGCCTGTAATCCCAGCACTTGAGAGGCTGAGGCAGGAGGATTGCTATGAGTACAAGACCAGCCTGGGCTACATAGAGTTCCAGGTCAGTCTCAACTACATAGGGAGATCCTTTCTCAAAAAAAATAAAAACTTGGTCATAACGAATTATCTCTACTCCTTTTTTGTTTCTTTCCAGTACTTGATCTGAGCCAAAAGCCTTTGCTCTGAGCTACATCCCCAGCCCTTTTTTGAGACAGAGGCTCAATAAATTAACCAGGTGAGACTTGAACTTGCAATCCTCCTGCCTCAGCCCTGCATCATCACACCTGACTATGGAATTACCCTTTTTTTTTTAACTCAGTAACTTTAGAACCTACTGTAATATTCTAAAACAGATTTTTGCATTTATACCCATGAATGACACCAACCTCTGATGTTCTTTTCTTGTATCAACCTTCTCAGATTTAGCATCAAGGTCGTGCTAGCTTCTTTTTCAATACTTTAGAAGAATTTTTACAAATCTTAAATCACTTATTCCTTCTGTAATTGGCAAGCTCAGCACAGAAGCCAACTGGGCCCAGAGGGAATTTTTTTGAGAGAAAAATCTTTGACTACTAATTCAAAATGTCTAATGATACAGGCTATTTTGATAGGGTTTTTTGTTTGTTACTGTTTTTTTCCCAGTACTGGGAATCAAACTCAGGACCTTGCACTTGCCAGGGAGGAGCAGCAACACTGAGCTACATCCCTGGCCTTTGACATTCTATTTAATTCGATCAGTTTTGGTAAATTATATTTTCTCTAGATAATCCTAAAGATGAGGATGACAAAGGTAACTGAGATCTGGAATGCTGACCCTAACATGAACTCTATAAGAAATTAAAAGTCTTGTGAATCAGCAGAGCAGTAGTGGGTCACATGCCTACTGTGTGTTACAGTTTATAAAAGTACTGACCTCATGTTACCTCAAGGTCAACATCTGGATGCTTTAATGACTTTCGGTGTCTCATTATTTGTGAAGGCCTGGATAAACTTCCTGTCTAAGCAAATAGCTAGTTCAGATCAACACCCCATCACTGGTCACGCTAGACATTTTGTTTTGTTTTCAGACAAAGTCTCACTATGTAGTTCAGGCTGGCCTTGAACTCACTATGTAGGTAGCCCTGGCTGCCTGAAACTCACTGGGATCCTCCTGCCTCAGCCTCCCAAGTGCTGGGATTACAAATGTATGCCACCACTCCCAGCTAGAAAATTTTGTGGAGGACGATGCAACTATTAAATTCTTCACTTCACGCCTAAGAATCACCTGTCACTGACAGGTGGAAGCAGCCGCACACAGGTGACTTGAGTGTATCAACACTAGAGTGTTAGAGGAGTTAAATTCTTAACCTTCCCCGAGGCCAAGCTGGGAATGGAAAATCCGGGGCTTGGCGTGTTTGCTGACACCAGTGGTTCCCCAGCCACCTGGTCCGGGACACGGGGCACACTCACCAGGGCCTCGAAGTCCTTGCAGTCGCCGCGGGCGTAGGCGGCTGGGAAGGGCCGCAGCACAGAGTCGCGCTTGTAGCTGCG